TTGAGGTTTATTTTCGTATAGTTTTTATGGTTATATTCTCGTTTTCATAGTCATATTTAATAGAATGGAAAACATATTATAGAAATAAAGGTGATTTTGATTGGTTTTACTATGAAAAGAACCTTGAAATGGAGCTCAAAGTAGGGGAAATGTTTGATTTTTGCCAATGTTCAAAAGTAAACAAATGATGTCATTGTCCTAATAAATGTCCAACTAGCCATTCTAATATGCAGTCATGAATGGGTTGATGTTATTTATACAATTATTACAATACTGCAGTAGTCTGCATAACAGTAAATCTTCTATTTTTTGTTTGACAAAAAATTCAAAATAGAAAGCAAGAGTAATATCAGAGGGGCCTGGAGACATGACTGATGAATAAAGAAAATGTTATTTTAGAGCCAGGAATGTCTGCATTGTTCATTCTGGACCCTATTTTGAAATTGGTATATTTTTTAATTTGCGTGAAATTGGCAAAATTGCCAATTTCTGACCACTTTATTGGGTAGTTGAAATTTGTAAATTGGCAGTTTCTTGTACTCAATCGATAGAGCAAATGGAGTTCTAAAGAAATAGTTATGAGTTTGGTGGACTGGAACAATGGAATAAGCCGAAAATTGGGCTCCAAGTGGGCGAAATCGCCAATTCGTAAATATCACCGAGGTCGCTAACTTCGCGAGAGCATAATTCCATCAGTTTTCCAACAAATTTCGTACTTTTGGTGTTATTACCATCAGGAAAAGATTCTCTATCATTTCATAAGAAGGAAAAACTAATTTTTTTTTTTCAAATATTTTGTGACACCAGGAGACACCTCAGGATTTTGGGTTTCGACAGTCAAAGGGTTAAACCTTTAATCATACAACAGAAAGCTACTGTGAGAATGATTACAAACTCCTGTGCCAGGCAACACATCCCACTGCTATTTAGGAGCTTGAACCCGCTTAAAGTACAAAATATCCACTTATATTATTGTGACTACTACATACACAGAACATTATTCTCCAATCTAAACCCTCCCCTTAAACTCCTTCTTGAGAACTACAATAGAACGCACTTGCATAACACAAGACACAAAACACTCTTTGATATCCCTGTGTCCATCTCTCCCAATGCAAATAATGCAATGCATATAAAGGGCCCTAAGATCTGGATTTCATTACCTGAAAATACAAAAGGGCCCCTGCCTGCACACAATTTCAAGGCACTACTTAGAACTCACCTCATCTCCCAAAAATAACAACACAAACACTATATACTATCGCGACCACCAACCCAAAATTTGCCAAATTTTATAAGACTATTTCAAAACTAAAATGGTCTCAATCTCATTATGTATAATGTACTAAAATATAATACTGTAACTTGTTATTCAACTACTTGTTAATTTAATTTATTTATTTATTTATTTACTTTAAAAATTTGTGCACAATACAGAGGTAAAAAAATACAGAAAAGGTCAGTAAAGCCAAGCTATTTATATATGCATAGCATTACGGGCTGGCTTAAAATTAATTAGATGAAACCTAAGCAATGATGACATCGTGATAAAACTTTATATGTCAAACAGATTATATAAAACACATGTGAGTATTACAAAGAAGGTATATGTTGTATGCATTGTCTGTCACATCATTGTAGAATGATGTATTTGTTAGGTAAGTGTATAAAAAAATATAAAGTTAGAATTGGGTTTTAGGTTTAACTTTTTATGTGATAAATGTGAGAAACTTATAAGATATACATTTATAGGTTCAGTTATTCAGTATTATTTGGTTTTCGGTGAGTAAGTCTTTGAAAGAGACTTAATTTATAACCGGTAGTGTTTCTTTTTATATTACAGTAATGAGTTCAGATTTTAGGACCTTTTATGTGCATTGAGTTTTGCATATGTAGATGGACACGAGTGAACATCAAGAGTGATCTGGCCTTGTATTATGGTCATGTGTTTCTGTTGGGTTGGCAAGGAGTGTTTGAGGGGGTTAATATCAAGTTAATGTTCTAGTATGTAATAGGTGCAGTATAAGTATGAATGTTTTGTATGGTGAATAGGTTTAGTGGATTGAATATTGGTTGAGAGTGTGCTGCCTATAGTGAGAATTGTTATATTCTAACTGCAGCCTTTTTGGGTAATTAGTGGTCTGAATGGTTACTTGTTTTTGCCCATGCACAAATTCATAGGTGAGATAGGGGTAAATAAGAGAGTGATATAGGGCCAGGAGGGCTGATGTGGAAGCATAGTACCGTATCTTCGATAGTATGCCCACAGTCTTGGAATTTTCTTAGAAATTTGTTGTATATGTGTATGAAATTTGAGTCTATTATCAAGGTGGATTCCTAAGAATTTTCCCTCTGTTAGCTTTGTGATAGGTGATCCGTTTATCATTATTTTTAAGAGGGACATCTGTAGCTCTGTTACAAACTGAATGAAGTAGGTTTTGTCAATGTTTAGTGTAAGTTTGTTAGTCCTCATCCAGGTTTGATATTTTCTGTAATTCTGTATTTACAGTATTGGCTAGCGTGACTGGGCTCGGGTGGGGGGAAGACGTATGTAGTGTCATCTGCAAATAGTGTGGGTTTGAGTAATTGCGAAGCATTTGGTAGGTCATTTATGTATAGGAGGGAAAGAGAAGAGGGGGCCCAAAGGGAAAACTTCCTGTGGGACACCAACTGTAATTGGTTGTGCAGAAGAGTTTTGCCCCATTTGCATACAATATTGGCTTCTGTGCTGAGGTATGACTTGAGGTAGTTGAGGGAGTGCCCTCTTATACCATAGTTTTGACAATTTTACGTGGAGCAAGTCATGGTTAACTGTATCAAAAGCTTTACGTAAGTCAATGAAGATCCCCAGTGGGACTTCTTTTTTCTCTATTGCAGTGTATATATGTTCTAGCTGTGTATAATAGCATCATTAGTATTTTTATTTGGCCTGAATCCAAATTGGCAGGGGTTGAGTATGTTTTGGGAGATAATGTAGGAGTAGATTCGTTTATGAATTAATTTTTCGAAGAAATTTTTTTGAGAGGGTGTAAGTTGGATATTGGCCTATAGTTATTCAACTCTGTTTGGTCTCCTCCTTTGTGGATCGGGGTGACCCTTGCTATTTTGAGTACTGTGGGGAAGGTGGAGGATTCAATGGATTTTTTTAAAGAGTGTTGCAATGATTGGTGATAGACTTTTTGACAAATTTTTTGTATATAAAGGGTGGTAAGGTATTTAAATCTCCTGCCTTGTTTTTTAGCGTGTGATAATAAGGGAGACTTCGTATGGGTTAGTCGGAGCTAGGGAAAAGGTTTTTGTTCGGGTAGTTGCCAGTGAGGTAGTCATTTGGTGGCGGTATCTGAGCTTGGGATTTTATTGGCAAGGTTTTGTCCTATAGTGGAGAAGAAGTATTGAGTTTTGTTTGCTGTTTCTGTTGGTGGGAGTTGGGGTTCATCTGATTTTTTTCTAATTTTATTTCGCTATTTCGTGATATCTTTTTTGTTCCTAGAATTTCTGATAGGGTTTTCCAGGTCTTTTTTATATCACCTCGTAAGTTGGATAATCTGTTCTCATAATACAATTTTTTTGCCCTTCTTATCAGGCTGGTTAGGATTGACGAGTAACTTTTGTTTGGTCTCCCGGTTATGTGACCCATTCTGTACTGTTTTTCATATTGGTGTTTTGTATTTTGGATTTGAGAATGCTGGGTGTTAACCAGGGACGGGTTTAGTCTCTTAGCTGTCATTTTTTAGTTTTTTTAGGGCAGTGCTTGTTATAGAGGTATTGGGTCTTTTTTAGAAAATTATTAATACATTCGTCAATATCTGTATAGATTTCTAGCTCAGTGTGCCAGTCAATGTTTGCTACTGCTGTTGTGAAGTTATTAATGGCTGCCTCATTGTGAAGTCTGAAGGTGACTTTAGTAGTGTCTTGGGGTAATTTACCAAGAGTTGTTATGAGAAAAGTAGGGTAGTGGTCTGTGGTATTATCTGTAATTACTGCTAAACCGCTACTACTCCTGTTGATATATTAAAAACAATGTTCAATTCCAACCAAGTATGTTATATATGTCTAGTATTTAGTAGTCTGTAAAGTATTTAGTATTTAGTCTGCCTGAAATGCCTCAGCTTGATAGTGTCACTTTCTTTGCACTTAGCAAATCAATATTGTAATTACACATTGTAAACTATGAATGGAAATAGACTCCTTATAACATGTCAGTCACACATTGTAAACTATGCAAAGAAATAAAAATTTGAATTTGAAAGCCTGTCAAATGGAGGGTTTACTGTAATCTTCTCTTAGTTATAATAATATTATAATATCTTTATTTCTACAAGTACAGTAGAACCTAGGTACTCGAACAGCTCCCTACTCAAACAATTCGGTACTCGAACGCTTTGTTCGATAAAAATTCACTTGGTAGTCGACCATTTGCTTGGCATTCGACCAAAGAAGCATAATCTGCCAGAGCTTCGCTGTAAACTATTTCATGTTTCTTCACATTTTTTGGTGTTTTTTATAATATATGTATAAATAAGTCACCATGGGGCCTACAAAGATTAGTGATAACCAAAAAGAAAATTGGCTGGGAAAAACTTGTTCAATACTTGAACAGCTTTCTGGAACAAATTAAGTTAGAGTACTGAGGTTCCACTGTACATGCATGAGGTATACAGGTTTAGCTTCCATCAATGACATACATGTACTATTATATAGAAAGCCACTTGTTATGCAGAGCATTTTGGGGAAGTTAGGTCAATTTTGTCCTGGGATGCAACCACACCAATCGACTAACACCCAGGTACCCATTTTACTGATGGGTGAAAATGGACAATCAGTGTAAGGAAACATGCCCAATGTTTCTACTCTTGCTGGGAATCAAACCCAGACCTCAGTGTGTGAAGTGAGAGCTTTGCCACCAGGCCACGAGCCACCATAAACACAATTAACACAATAAAGTAAGAGTTCAGTTTTATAAGGGCACAGATATTGTAAAGATTATAAAGAGGACTTACCAAGCCACTATCATAGCCCATGCAGCCAAGTGACGAGTGACATCAGCAGCAAATCTTGCTGAACACAATACTATTACTATTACCACTAAAAACCATTCCAAATAATTTTCGATGCTCTTGAGGTAAATTTCACGGGAGAAGAATATCTGGAAAACTTCTCTGATAAGCATGTATATTGTGATTGGGAGAAGGATACCCATGAAACAGTTCACTGTAACTTGCTTATTTTCAATTTTTTCATTAATGGTTCCATTGCCTGATCCAGAAGCAAGATCATTTTTGGCCTGTGCTTCAAGTATGCGTAAATCTTTAACACTGTAAACAAATGCTGTGAGAATAATGACAAATATGAAATAAATGCCTAAATTAAGAAGGTAAAGAGGCAGAACCTTACGCCACTTGGCATACAAGAGAACCTGTACCAGTGGGTGTTTTATGGCATGTCTGTGCCGGTTGCTTCTACTAATGTCCATTAATGTTTCGGTCTCATTTATACTCCTCTCGTTCTCAATGTCTTCACTGGTTGGAGGCACAAGGAACCGATAATCAAGTTTTAGCCTGTGGTCTTCATTGAGAATATTTTCATTTTCAGAAACATCATCAGTTATTGGACAGTGTACAATGCAGCCATCCATAGCTCTCTCTAGGGTTGCTGGCAGAAGAGAGTCTAGGATGTTGCTGTGGTCATGGGCTACTGTTGTCTGATGAGCACCAAGGAAAGCTCCTCGGGAAAGAAACTCACTCATGGCCTCCTGGTTGTTGAAGGAAGCAGCTACATGCAGTGCAGTCTGACCCATCCACTCCTGGTTCAAGTTCAAGATGACATCATCTTGCATTAGTCGTTGCAAGCACTTTGAATGATTAATCTCAGGAGAAGTGTCCTTTTTTTTATTGCTCTCCATTAGCTTCTGGATAATACTGACAGTGTAATCTTTAAGATCTACAGGTCTGTCATTAATTTTCATGTGATTAATGATAAGGTTGAAAATAGACCAATGACCTCGAGAAGCAGCTCGATGAATAGGGAGTTCATTTGTTACTTCCAATACCCGTGGTTTTGCTCCATAATTAATTAAAACTTCTACTAAGGCTTCATTGCTTATGTTGATGGCATAGAAAAGAAGAGTTTGTTTTCCAAGTCGACAGTTGACTGCAGCATGAGCATCTTTAGGTGACTGATTTCTCAGGAATGCCTTAACATCATCTATATTTTTTCCCATAAATATCATATCCAAGAATTGTGATTTTGCAGGTCTTTTAGGAGGGGGCAGTTGTTCAACATCCTCCAAGACTGCTGGAAGGGCCTGTTTGTTTAGCAGAACCTTTTCAATAGTGCCATCCCCTCCATCTTCCTGGAGAGAAGCTCCTGCATTCACTAGTTTTCTGCAAAGGCTAATGAGACCATTTTTAGAAACTCCATGTTCCTGAGGCAACTTTGATGCAGCTGCTGCCAGCGGTGTGAGGTGTGCATGAGGCTCTAAATCAATGCCTTTTTGGCGTAAAAGTAAATCTGTCAAATCCTGCAAGACTTTTTCTGATTCAGCTCCTCTTGATGTAATGTAAGTCAAGATATGCAGCACACTCTGGCCTTTATCATTACGAGCATTAATGTGGGCTCCAGCATTAATGAGCATCTCAACAAGGTTAGGCTGCGCTTCTGCAACTGCCACCAACAATGGCGTGGCCCCGTCATCATCTGGGGCATCGAGGACCTCTTCAGGTGGGTTTCCATCTAGTAAAGCCTGCAAACACCTGGGGGCATTCTTTTTGACTGCAATGTGTAGTGATGTTTCAACAAGTGCTATCTCTTTATTGTTAGGCCGAGGTCGCCACACACAATTTTTTCCCCATTCATCCAACATTTCCCGCAATTTTCCAACATTGTCATGCTCGAGCAGGCTGATGACTCTCTCTGCTCTCAACTCCTCTTGGGAAGACATGAGAGGAGTCTTTTGGTTCTCCACATCTGCTACCATCACAAGACCTGAAATAAAGTACAATATCTTAGCACCTTGAAACAATTCTGTTTATGTCAAAGTCAAAGTCAAATTTTACTTCCAAGAATTATAGAGCTGATTTCATCTCTGGCCTTACACCTTTTTGTATATTCTAAGGAAAGTCCACTGTTTTGTGAAGCACTTTGAGAAGACTAAAACTACTGCAGTACAGTAGGACCCCCGTATCTGCGGGGGATACGTTCAAAGAACCTGTCGTGGATACCAAAACCATGGATAGTAGCAAACTCTATATATAAGTCCTATACATACCTATTATCACTTTTTTACTCTCTTAGGCTCTTGTATTCATTGTAACTCATCTAATGACCATATATACTGTTATTGCCCTATTAATCTTAAGTTAATGTTAAGTTTGCCCAAAATGCTCTGCATATAAAGGGGCTTTTGGCATGTACACCCAATAATTATATTCCTTTGTATAAACATGTATCATGTCAAAATAAAATATTATTATTATTACTATTACTTTTGCACTTTGGGGCCATTATTATGCAAAATTAAGAGGTATTTTTGGGCCACAGTAAACAGTGGATAACTGAAACCATGGATACCGACTCAGTGGATATGGGGGTTCTACCATACTTACTAATACTTAACTATACTAGTACAAGTAATCAGATAAGGATTATAGCATGTAATTTAAATTTTGTGTGAAAACTCAGCATGAATAGAACTGCAGACACATTCATCCCTTTCAAAACTACAGTTAGAAAACATCTTATCTCCCTGATCCACCCGACAACTAACTACATGATAACCACCTGGTGGTTCAAAATTACACTCACTCACCCACTGACTATAAACCCAGAAATACTAATCTTAATCTTAAAATAATAAATCCTAACTAGTCATAAGTTTGCCTATGATACTCCATTATAGACACTTTGTATTGTGCCAAAACAAAATCATTCACATTGCTAAACTCACAAATTATGATGTAGTCACTTAGCCTTAATATCATAATCTGTAAGGATTTAATGTTAAGAATTAATCTAAGTCTGCTGGAAATGCCTAGCCATGCTAGGTGTCCTAGTGGCCCCCTCTGTAATTAGTATTTTATAACATGTAAACCACAAAATACCCAAAACCTGTAAACCCCACATTGTAACCATTATAGAGAATAAACTTATAGAGAATAAACTTGAATGAGGAGGCAGTAATCGAATAAGCAACTGGCTTAAGACAGAAATGACATAATAAATGTTTATTATATATATATGTATATGTATTATATAGGTAGTAGGTTGGTAGACAGCAACCACCCAGGGAGGTACTACCGTCCTGCCAAGTGAGTGTAAAACGAAAGCCTGTAATTGTTTTACATGATGGTAGGATTGCTGGTGTCCTTTTTTCTGTCTCATAAACATGCAAGATTTCAGGTACGTCTTGCTACTTCTACTTACACTTAGGTCACACTACACATACATGTACAACACATATATACACACCCCTCTGGGTTTTCTTCTATTTTCTTTCTAGTTCTTATTCTTGTTTATTTCCTCTTATCTCCATGGGGAAGTGGAACAGAATTCTTCCTCCGTAAGCCATGCGTGTTGTAAGAGGCGACTAAAATGCCAGGATCAAGAGGCTAGTAACCTCTTCTCCTGTATATATTACTAAATGTAAAAGGAGAAACTTTCGTTTTTCCTTTGGGCCACCCTGCCTCGGTGGGATACGGCCGGTGTGTTGAAAGAAGAAGTATATGTATTATATATTACTGTACATACATCAAGTTCAAGACATGTATTTTGACAGTGGGAGGTAGCTTCATTTCAACTTTTTGACAGGTTGCCCCAAATTTTGGTTCCGTTAATTTGCACAGAGTGTTAACTCAGGTTGAATTGTACATTTGGAATACCAAAGAGATATTTAATTGTAGTGTTATGCCTATGTGATCTGCTGAAGATCTCCGGGATTTGTTTTAGCTCAGGGTTAATATTTGCACTGAGTGTTCTGTTATGTATATGAACAGTAGTATGTGTGAATATTTTATACAATAAGGAGATTCAAATCTTTGAAAACTGGGGACTGACTGTTCTAAGGAAAGATTTTCTGTTGGGTTATGATTGGTTTTTGATAGTTGGCTGTTGCAGAACCCCATGTGAATAGGCAACAACCTGGAGTTTACCTGGAGAGAGTTCCGGGGGTCAACGCCCCCGCGGCCCGGTCTGTGACCAGGCCTCCTGGTGGATCAGAGCCTGATCAACCAGGCTGTTGCTGCTGGCTGCAAGCAAACCAACGTACGAGCCACAGCCCAGCTGGTCAGGAACCGACTTTAGGTGCTTGTCCAGTGCCAGCTTGAAGACAATTTTTATTTTAGCATGATACATGTTCCTACAAAGAAGTACGTATATCAATTGGGTGTACATGCCAAAAGCCCCTTTACATGCAGAGCATTTCGGGCAAACTTAAGATTAATACCTAGAGTATACCTAGAGAGGGTTTTGGGTGTCAATGCCCCCGCAGCCTGGTCTGTGACCAGGCCTCATGGTGGATCAGAGCCTGATCAACCAGGCTGTTACTGGTGGCTGCACGCAATCCAACGTACAAGCCACAGCCCGGCTGGTCAGGTACCGACTTTAGGTGCTTGTCCAGTGCCTGCTTGAAGACAGCCAGGGGTCTATTGGTAATCCCCCTTATGTATGCTGGGAGGCAGTTGAACAGTCTTGGGCCCCTGACACTTATTGTGTTGTCTCTTAACGTGCTAGTGACACCCCTGCTTTTCATTAGGGGGATGTTGCATCGTCTGCCGAGTCTTTTGCTTTCATAGTGAGTGATTTTTGTGTGCAAGTTCGGTACTAGTCCCTCTAGGATTTTCCAGGTGTATATAATCATGTATCTCTTCCGCCTGCGTTCCAGGGAGTACAGGTTCACGAACTTCAAGCACTCCCAGTAATTGAGGTGTTTTATCTCCGTTATGCGCACCATGAAGGTTCTCTGTACATTTTCTAGGTCAGCAATTTTACCTGCCTTGAAAGGTGCTGTTAGTATGCAGCAATATTCCAGCCTAGATAGAACAAGCGACCTGAAGAGTGTCATCATGGGCTTGGCATCCCTAGTTTTGAAGGTTCTCATTATCCATCCTGTCATTTTTCTAGCAGATGTAATTGATACAATGTTATGGTCCTTGAAGGTGAGATCCTCCGACATGATCACTCCCAGGTCTTTGACGTTGGTTTTTCACTCTATTTTGTGGCTGGAATTTGTTTTGTACTCTGATGAAGTTTTAATTTCCTCATGTTTACCATATCGGAGTAATTGAAATTTCTCACCGTTGAACTTCATATTGTTTTCTGCAGCCCATTTAAAGATTTGGTTGATGTCTGCCTGGAGCCTTGCAGTGTCTGCAATGGAAGACACTGTCATGCAGATTCGGGTGTCATCTGCAAAGGAAGACACGGTGCTGTGGCTGACATTCTTGTCTATGTCAGATATGAGGATGAGAAACAAGATGGGAGCAAGTACTGTGCCTTGCAGAACAGAACTTTTCACCGTAGCTGCCTCAGACTTTACTCTGATGACTACTACTCTTTGTGTTCTGTTTGTGAGGAAATTATAGATCCATCTACTAACTTTTCCTGTTATTCCTTTAGCATGCATTTTGTGTGCTATTATGCCATGGTCACACTTGTCGAAGGCTTTTGCAGAGTCTGTATATGTTACATCTGCATTCTTTTTGTCTTCTAGTGCATCTAGGACCTTGTCGTAGTGATCCAGTAGCGCCTGCCAAAACCCTTTTTTTCCCCGGGGTTTGTAACTGATGGGTATCAGATGTGTGGCGATTTGTTTCTTAGGACCCTTTCAAAGATTTTTATGATATGGGATGTTAGTGCTATTGGTCTGTAGTTCTATGCTATTGCTTTAAAAGCCACCTTTGGGGAGTGGGGCTATGTCTTTGTTTTTAGTAATGTGGACGCCCCCCGTGTCCATGCCCCCTCTCCATAGGATGGGGAAAAACAAATGTAGGAGTTCTTTTCAGTTCTTGATGAACAAGAGTTCCCTGAGTCCGGTGGGACCCAGCCCAGCGATCAGTACGATTTAGGGGCTTTTTAGGCCTGCTTGAAGACAGCCCGGGGGCTGTGGAATCCCCCCTTTTGTATACTGGGGGGCAGCTGAACAGTCTTGGGCCCGCACTTATTGTCTCTCTCCCAAACCCCAAAGAAAAGCAGGGTGCTAGTGGGACCCCCGCTTTTCTTGGGGGGGTGTTTATTTTCACCGAGTCTAAAAAGGGAATAACGTTGCAATAATTGTACAAATTTGGGCATTAATCAGTTACAATGAATACATGAAAAATGAATGTTCTATTGTTCATGCTATATGGTTTTAATAATTTGGGAAAGAAGAATTAAAAGTTTTGATTATATTTAAAAAGGGGACACAATGGAAAGATTAACATTTGAAGGGTTACAGTACTGGACTAAGTGAAATTGATTATAATGTTTTTTAATAAGTTAATAATATTAGCAAATGCATGTAAGTTTTTACATAGTATTTATGGGGGGCGAAAGGGTATTAAGGAGATAAAGGGGTTTCTAACTGTAGTTTTAAAAATGCTAGCTGAGCCTGGTTCTGGGATTTCTGGCAAAGTTCCAGATTTTGGGTCCCTTTTTTTGTACACCCAGTTTTTGAAAAGTTTGCCTGACAAGGGAATGCCACAGAGTTTTTGTCCCAGTATTGTGCCCCATGGGTCCTTTTGGGCAACTGTCAAAAAGCACTTCAGTCAGGATTTATATTAAAATTTAAATTGTTTTTAAATGTAGGTTTAACCCGTACGAGGAAATGTTTTGTACGTTTAGGTCTTTGAAAGTGAGGATTGGGGGGGGGGGGGGGTTGTTAGCTGTGGATTGGTGTCATTCGCACTGCACTTTTTTTTGGGTTATTATTGGATTAGTGATTTTTATTGTGGAGCCCCGGGCACAAATGACGGTGGGGTAGGGGTGATCGGGAAATAGTATAGTGTAATTTG